CTCCCTATCCCGTGATGCAAATGAATAAAGAAGAGAGAAGAATAAAGTAAACAGATGATAGCTTTTATTTAAAACAGAAATAGTGAGATGTGGTTTGACCATTTGGATTTAAAATCCAGGTCCAACCAAACAGACACCTTGGCAATAAACAAATAAACCTAAAACAAAAATACTCCAGATACTGCACCATTTCTAGGTGTTGATAGGCAGTAGATGGTACGACACTATTGTCACAGGCAACTGATGGACCTTGGGTCTTGACTGCTTCTTAAGAGAGGCCTGGTTCTGCCATCACCCAAGGGTGAATGATCAACAGGACCTCTGTACCTTTCTCTGAAAATGATGTGGAGTTCAGAGATTGGTAAGCACAGTCACAGTTCTTAATGCTGATGTCTTCAGATGCTGGTCTTTTGATCTTCTTGTCCACGTAGCCATGCAAATACAACGGTACCGTGGCTGCTGCTAGGATGGACAGCAACTAGGCAGCGGGTGCTCAGAGTTTATATAGGCACAAGTGTGCCAAAGTTCTGAGGTAAAACTGGCATTTTCCCTGCTGGAACCTGTTTGAACCAGTTCTGTGCTGACTGTTGGCTGCCTTTCCTGCTAGAGTTCCGAAAGGGTGCGAAAACTTCAACAAGAAGTTAAACAAAGATGGAGTCGAGCTGTTTGGCAGGCACGCCATTTTGAATTTTAGACTCCATATCGAATACATGGTTAACCAAGTGTAAAGGCATAAAGTATAACTTATTCTAAAGCACAAGACCATTTATAATCTTTCATATACAAAAACATTCTTACAAGGCGTATAAAAGAATAACCCAAGCATGTAGGGACAAAATTAGAAAGGCCCAGGCAGAAGGTTAATTACACCTAGCAAGGGACATAGAAGGCAATAAGAGATTCTTTACATTAGCAAGAGAAAGATGAAGAAAAGTGAAGGTCTCCTACTTAGTGGGAAAGGAGATCTAATAACTGCTGGCATCAAGAAGGCTGAGGTGTTATGCTTAATTTGCTTTAGTCTACACTAAAAAGGTTAATGCTGATGAGGTAGTTAACCGCCAGGGGAAAGGAATGCAAACCAAAATAGGGAGAGAACAGATTGAAGAATATTTAGATGAGTTAGATGTGTTCAAGTTGGCAGGATCTGATATAATTCACCCTAGAATGCTCAAGGACTTAGCTGAAGCAGTCTCAGAACTGTTAGCAATTATCTTTGAGAACTTCTGCAGGATGGTTGAGGTTCTGGAAGACTGGAGAAGGAAAAACATAGTATCTGTCTTTTATAAAGGTGAATAAAGAGGACCTGGGGAGTTATAGACTAGTCAATTTAACTTAGATAACCTGTAACAAATATTAATCAATTTGTAAGTGCCTGGAGAATAATAGGGTTATAAGGAATAGCCAGCATGGAAGTTGTCAAGAACAAACCATACCAACCCAATTTCCTTATTTGACAGGGTTACTGGCCTAATGTGATGTCTTGGGTGTGGTTTTTTTGTTTTGTTTTGTTTTTGTTTTTGGGTAAAGTGAGGCATTTGACAGTCCCACGTGACATTTTCAAAAACAAGCTAGGGAAATGGTGGTCTAGATTAAATTAGTATAAGGTGGGTGCACAACTGGTTGAAAGACTGTACTCAGAGTAGTTATTAATGGTTTACTGTTGAACTGGGAGGTTGTATCTAGTGGGGTCCTGCAGGGTCTGGTGGAATTTAATGAAAATATTGACGACTTGAAGTGGCAAGCATGCATATAAAATTTGCTGAGAACACTACGTTGGGAGGGGTTACAGCAAGCACTTCGGAGGAGAGGATTAGAATTCAAAATGACCTTGACAAATTGCTGCGTTGGTCTGAATTTAGCAAGATGAAATTCAGTAAAGGCAAGTGCAGAGTGATCGCTTGAAAATTTAAAAATCCAATGCACAACTATAAAATGCGGAATAACTGGCTTGGTGGTAGTACTGCCGAAAAGGATCGGGGATCATAGTGGGTCACAAATTGAGTTTGTCAACAATTGATACAGCTGCAAAAAAGACTGTCATTCTAAGGTATATCAACAGAAGTGTCATAGGTAAGACATGGGAGGTAACTGTCCTATTCTTGGCACTGGTGAGGCCTTAGCTTGGATTACTGTGTCCAGTTATGGGTGCCACACATTCGGAGAGATATGGACAAACTGGAGAGAGTCCAGATGAGAGCAACAAAAATTATGAAAAGTTGAGACAACCCGACACATGGAAAAGCTGCTTTTTTTTTTTTTTTTTTTAAAGAGACGTGGCTAGTTCTGAAAAAACAAGACTTAAGGGAGACCTGATCGTAGTATTCAAATATGTAGAGCTGTTATAAAGAGGATGGTGATCAGTTATTCTCCATTTCCACTAAAAGTATGTAAAGTAGCAATGGGTTTAATCTGCAGCAAGGAAGATTTAGGTTAATATTAGGAAAAACTGTCTAAAAGGTAATGAAAGACTAAAATAGTCTTCCAAGGGAGGCAGGGAAATCCCCATCACTGGAGGTTAAGAACAGGTTGGACAAACACCTGTCAAGGGTGATCTTGGCTTAGGCCTGGTCTACACTTTGGGCTAGGTTGAATTTAGCTGTGTTAGGTCAATTTAAAAATGACCGGGTCCACTCAACCAACCCTGTTCCATTGACCTAAAGAGCTCTTAAAATTGACTTCTGTACCCCTCCCCGACGAGGGGAGTAGTGCTAAAATCGACCTTGCTGGGTCGAATTTGGGGTAGTGCGGGTGCAAATCGACAGGATTGGCCTCCAGGAGCTATCCCAGAGTGCTCCATTGTGACTGCCTTGGACAGCACTTTGAACTCCGATCCACTAGCCAGGTAGACAGGAAAAGCCCCACAAGTTTTTGAATTTCATTTCCTGTTTGTTCAGTGTAGCGAGCTCAGCAGCACAGATGACCATACAGTCCCCCCCAGAATCGTAGAGCATAGAATGTTTCTACACTCCCCCTATCATCTCTGTCCCTGATGTTATCGCAGATTAGAAGGCGGGAAAAAATGTACTCGCAGTTACATGTTTTCTGAGCTGATACAGTCCTCCCGCACTAATAGGGTACAGCTTAATGCATGGAGGCATTCAGTGGCAGAGACCAGGAAAGAATTAGTGAGTGCGAAGAGCGGAGGCAGGACGCGATGCTGAGGCTAATGGGGGAGGAAACTGACACGATGAAGTGTCTGTTGGAGCTGCGGGAAAGCTAACGAGCACAGACCCCCGCTGCATCCACTGTATAACTGCCTACCCTCCACCCCATGTTCCAAATCCACCTCACCCAGATGCCCAAGAACGCCGGGGGAGGGGGGAAGGCTCCAGGCACCCAGCCACTCCACTCCAGAGGATGGCCCAAGCAACAGAAGGCTGTCATTCAAACAGCTTTGATTTTTAGTGTGGCTACAATAAGCAATGTGGCCTTGTCCTTCCCTCCTCCCCCACCCCACCCGGGCTACCTTGTCCGTTATCTCTATTAATTTTAAAAAAAATAAAAATGCCTGGTTTCAAGACAGTAGTTACTTTATTTCGAAGGGGGATGGCGGTTGGTTTACGGGAAATTAAAATAAACAAAGGGGGCAAGTTTGCAGCAAGGAGAAACACACACAACTGTCACACTGTAGCCTGGCCAGTCATGAAACTAGTTTTCAAAGCCTCTCTGATGGCAGCGTGCCTAGCTGTGCTCTTCTAATCGCCCTGGTGTCTGGCTGCTCAAAATCGGACGCCAGGCGATTTGCCTCAACTTCCCACCCTGCCATAAATGTCTCCCCCTTACTCTCACAGATATTATGGAGCACACAGGAAGTAGCAATAACAGTGGGAATGTTGGTTGTGCTGAGGTCTGACCTAGTCGGCGAACAGTGCTAGCGAGCTTTTAAATGTCCAAAGGCACATTCTACCACCATTCTGCACTTGCTCAGCATATAGTTGGACTGCTCCTTACTACTGCCCAGGCTTCATGAGCAATGTGAGCAAGGGGTAGGCTGGGGTAGGTGCAACCGTGCAGTGCTGCCGGCTGGGAGAGCAGCCTGAGGCAGAAGCCTCCAGCTTGCATGATATTCCAAGCAGCATTGAATCTCCATGAGACAAAACTTAAAGAAGAGAATGACCTGGAGTTTCTGACTCCCATTCAGTGCTCTAAGAGGAGGATAGCCATGTTTGTCCAGGGGCCCCTGGTTGACCTCACCGAGGTCTGCCAGGAGCACCCAGGAGGTGTACGATGGCTATCAGTCCTACTGCACCATCTGCCGTGAAGGCAAGGAGCTGCTGCTGTGTAGCAATGCAGTACCGCATCTGCCAGCGGGACCCAGGAGACGTACGGTGACGGTGAGCTGAGTGGGCTCCATGCTTGCTGTGTGTCGTATGGTGTCTGCACCGGTAACCCAGGAAAAAAGGCATGAAACAATTGTCTGCCTTTGCTTTCACGGAAGGAGGGAGGGAGGGATTCGGCATGTACCCAAAACCACCTGCGACAATGTTTTTGCCCTATTAGGCATTGGGAGCTTAACCCATAATTCCAATGGGCAGCAAAGACTGCGGGAACTGAGGGATAGCTACCCACAATGCACCGCTCTGTAAATTGATGCTAGCCACAGTAGTGAGGACGCACTCCACCGACTTAATGCGCTTAGTGTGGACATACGCAATCAACTGTATAAAATCGGTTTCTAAAAATCAATTTCTATAAAATCAACCTAATTTCGTAGTGTAGAAAAGGCCTTAGTGTAGACAAGGCCTGTCATAGTACAGGGAGCTGGAGTTGGTAACTTGAAGTCCCTGCCAGTCTATTGTGAATCCGTGCAATGTGCACTCCTAACAAATGGGTACTTCTGTGACGTCAGCATAGTAACTATTTTGTAAACTACTGATAAGCTTTGAAAACTATGATAGTATGTCTTATGCAGTTCCTAAACTTCATTTTTAATATATGTATTTGGTGTACATAGTCTCTGTACATAAAATCTAACACTAACGTTTTTGGGGTTTTTTAAGGCTGTCTGAGGTCTGAGAACATGGCAGACATTGACAAGTAAGTGTACTCTTTTGGACATTGACTTTGACTAAAACTCTCACCGTGTATTTATTAATCCTGTACTTGCTGTGATCTCTAAGTAACTTTTTCTCTTTAAGGTGTATATATTAGATTGGTGTAAAATGAGCAAATATGCAAACGGATTCATGTTCGTTTTATTATGTGCTCACTTAGGATTTTAACTGCAGTAGCTATTAAGCAAAATGTAAACTAACAATGTTCTAGTTAACTACAAAATAAAATTCAACTAATGTACTAAATTACTAAAACTAGCAGCATCACCTGTTCCACTGTCATGTTAAACATTACATTTCTTTTCCCTGTCTCTTTTTGTCAGTGGTTCTAAGCCAAAATGTAGGGCTCTGTCAGTCTGCTTCCTCCAAACATATTGTCAGTTACTAAACATACTACAAAAGTGATATTGTAGATTTAAAGTGTTGCAAAATCTTACTTTAAACAGGATACGGGTGAAACTTATGTCGTTGGGTACAAAACAGTTTCAGTGATTTAATAGTGCTGTGGCGTTAGTCTCGTTTTACAGAGGGAGAAATGCTGGGACAGAGGTAGAGGTTTAAATGATTTGACCAAGTTCAGAGGGCATTTCTCCCCAGGATAGGATTAGAACTCTGATTCTTGATTCCTAGTCTTGTATGCAAACCACTAAATTTATTATTTGTTCATTAGGATAGTAAAAGTGAAATTGTTGTTGTGGAAAGTTTCTAATTTGAATTTTACTATTTTGGTCAAATTTACCAGTGGAAAGAAGTTACAAAAGTTTAAAAAAAAAAATCAAATACTTAACCACAAAACAGAATACATCAGTTTAGTTGTCACACTGGGAACTAATACAGTATCTGTAACTGCAGTTTTTTCAGGACAAGTTGTATTGGTAAATAAGTCCTTTAGCTTAAAAGAAAAAAACAAAACAAACCCTCAACTCTTGAATTGAATGTTTCTACTAGCAAAGAACAGGCTGAACTTGACCAACAGGATATGGAAGATGTTGAAGAGGTGGAAGAAGAAGAAACTGGCGAGGATGCGAACAGTAAAGGTAACACTGTAACATATTTAAATCGAAAGAAATGCTAAAGGGATTTCACGTCTCAATTTAAACTGAATGCAAATGATGATAAAACATGCTTTTTTTTTAATGCTTTTTAAATTCTGAAACCCGAAGAGTATTGCTCATTCAAAGGGATTTTTAATGATCATTCATTTCATGCTTGTCTGCTTATTCTTTTTTAATCATGAACAGCAGCAGTTCACGAAACATTACCCCTGTGAACCAGTCATTGACCAGTCAGTGCTTCTGTCAGTACTTTCAAATGAACTTTACTGCTCACTTATCTTAATTTCATAGACAACCATTCAGCTTCAAAACGATTCAGTCACTATTATTAGAAACCCACAAATACCTAAAATTGGTCCAAAAAAAAAAATTAGAAACCCAGCATACCCATTTATATCTATATTGGGAGGGAGGGATAGCTCAGTGGTTTGAGCATTGGCCTGCTAAACCCAGGGTTGTGAGTTCAATCCTTGAGGGGGCCATTTAGGGATCTGGGGCAAACATTGGGGACTGGTCCTGCTGTGAGCAGGGGTTTGGACTAGGTGACCTCCTGAGATCCCTTCCAACTCTGATATTCTATGATTCTATGATCTAGTTAGTAGCACATTTGCATGAAACACAATTCAAAGTAAAAATCAGCTATTATAGCTGAAGACTGGGGTAGCATATGTTGCAGGGAAGTTCAGTACTTGGCAAACTTGGCTGAAATAGTTGAAGTTCTAAAATACCCAGATGAATATATCCTAAGGACTGGCCAGCAGAACTACAATAGAATAAAATTATGCTTTTCTCATCCTATTGGACTTTCCATGTAAACAAAATAGTGAGTGTAAAAGAGACCTGTTTGATATAATTTATTTGGAATTTCAAGAGCCTGTTGGAAAGTTTTTCACTGAATACTATTAAGGAAACCAAGTAGTCTTGGATGAGAGTTGGAAGTTCTCTCAGGGATTAAAAAGTTTTAAGAGTAGGAATAAATGGTCACTTTTCAACATGGTAAAAGACTGTCAGTTGAGTGCCCTAAAATACTGTACTAGAACTGGTGTTTAATATATTAATGTGATAAAATTGCATATGTTTCAATTACATATATTTTAAGTCTAGAGAAGATGGAAGAACTAGAAAGATCTAAGAAAGTTGTCTGAATGAACAGTTCAATGGCAAACCAGTCGTTGACAAATGCAGGGTAATCCCCTTTGGAGAAGTAACTTGAACTACTTCTGCATGTTACTGGCATCTAAATTGCAATCACTCAAGAAAGGGACTGAACTGCTGTTGTGCATAGCTCTCTGAAAATCTCTGCTCAATATATAAATGCAGTCAAAACAGTGAACAATTTTAGAATGCATTAAGTATTGGACAGAAAATAATTTGCAATTTCATGCAAAGATAGTACGACCTCATCTGAAGTATTGTGTTCACTTCTGGGGGAGATTAAAAAGATTGAGACTTTGTTTAATTTAGAGCACAAAAATAGGAGGGGTGTAGGTAGGTAAAAGGGAAATCTTGCGCATTTTGGAATAATAAATATGTGGAATTCATTGCCACAGGACATTGAGGCCAAGAGCTTGGTAAGAGTTAAAAGATGAATATTAATATGGATAATGAGAACACTTACAATTACATTTGACAAGACAAATTGTATAGGATATAAACTTCCCTGATTCAAGGTATGACGGAGGTTAGGAAGAAGGGTCTCCACTGGCGAAGTTACTTTTATTTTATTTTTTAAGCTATAAAATATGCGATTAGATGAATCGCTGGTCTGGTCTGGTATGACCGCTTGTTCCAACTGCACATTAAATTTTTCTGCTTACTAAGTCACTTATGCCTTATTTTCACTAGTATTTTTCAGTGAAATCTTCTCTAAATTAGAGACTTGTAGGGCAGTTAACTGAATCCAATTAGAGTTTTGATAGTTGTACAGAAACTGTTGTTTTTTTGGAAGAATATTGACTTATTGCACAGTCCCTGCCTCTGCCCAAAGCAAAAAGTACAAATCTCAGTATCTTGCATTTCTTTTTATCATTTCATTTGAAATGTTAGACAAAAAATGCTTTTTTAAAGACAAACATTTTTGGTGACCCCTTGTAAACCTGTGTTTTCAGCAAGAACTTCTAATGACTGGGTCAACTTTTCATAAAATAAGAATCTCAGAGCTTTGTCTTCCTTTTTCTAAAATGGTCAACTTTTAGATTTTCCAAATGCTCAGCTGTCTTTCAAAATGATCAGCATAAGATGGATCTTCACTAACATTTTTAATAAGATACTAAAATAAGTTTATTTCCAGGTTGGCTACAAGATTTAGCATAATGCATTTGCAAAACCTCTCCTCTTCTTGGTTTTACTTAGCTCGGCAGCTGACTGTGCAGATGATGCAAAATCCTCAGATTCTTGCAGCCCTTCAGGAAAGACTTGATGGTCTGGTAGGAACATCTACAGGATATATAGAAAGGTACAACTTGTTCTCATTCAGTAGTTAAGTGTCTGTTTTTATAATCTTGTTCTCTGTGGAAGTGTTCACAACACTCAGTCTCTTCGCTTTGAGACAAATAATTAATACGTCCTAAATTACCTGCCAGGGCCAAATATATCTGAGAACCTGACCTTTAGAAGAGAGCAGGAACTGAGTTCTTTTATGTATTTTTAATTTGAGGAAGGGAAGGTGGGAAGCTTGGTAAAGAGCTTAAAGTAGAGCTGACCTGTTAAAGTGACTTGCAGAGGTACATTTAAGCTTAACTTAAGTTTAAGTTTAATTGTTTGAGGTTGCTTGCAGTCTTGTAGCATTTATTACTGAAATAATTAGAGCTATTTTTTTTGAAAAGCATGGATCTGTTCCTGTAATATGGTTGCTGCGTTGTTTCTTGATATCTTTGTTACAATATGATCAGAAAAAACTTTTAGAATGATTAAATGGCATAAAACTTCATTAATGCAGAGTTAAGGTTGCCCAGCTGATAGCTCATGCACTTCCAGAATGTCAAGTTCAGCAAAATAAATTTCAGAAAGCCAGGAAATAAGAGTTAAGGTAAATGCTTGCACAGCCTTAACTCTGCCACCTGGAGCTGACAATAGTCCCCTGGGAATTATCTGCATGGACTACATCTAAATTCACTGTTAAGTATAGCTATATTGAAGGGTGGAAGAATAAGTTGTGATATGAGGAGAACTGGATCTGTGTCCATCCCCCGCTCCCCCATGTATATTGTCAAAGGAAAGATACACATGTACCTTGAGGTTGTACTCTGCATCACTTTAGTACAGAATTTGGTTGGTTGTGTCAGTAGCAGAGCTCTAGGGTCTTCTTGCCATGGGTGTTGCCATCAGATGGGATATGAGAGGAGCTGGTGGATATAACGATGGGGTTTGGGTGGTATGTGCAGGTGTCAATGGGTTGTGGAAGGATATGAAGTGGTTGTTAAAGCATGGTATTCTGTCTGGGGAGTAGTCTGAGTTTGAGTGTAGGGCAAGGGCAAGTAACATCTATTCATTACAGTGACAAGGCAGAGTGCAGGTATGTGTGTGTTATGGGCATTATGGGGCATTGTTCCAGTCATGTCAGTAGGTGGTCCCTTCCCTCCCACCCACCCCGTACCCAGTGCAGGAGTGTTTCTGATATGGGCACAGTTAAAGTTGCATTGTTTACCTTAACTCTGTATTTCTTGTTTTTCAGAAGTTGAGTTTTTCTGAACTTCTTCTAGAAGGGCCTGAGCTACCACCAGGCAACCTTAACTCTGGGTTCATGATTTTTTTTTTTTTTTTTGCCACTTAATATCCTAGTTTTTTTTTAAACCAAAAAATGTTTGTTAGTGGCCCTTTGGGTAGTTGTAGTTTTACCTAGGTTTGCAGTTGATAAGGTACTGTAGCTATGTAATAATCAAAGGCCTAGCTTTATATAGTGCTTTTCATCAGTAGATCTCAAAGAACTTACATCAGTATCTCCATTTTTTTACAGATGGGAAACTGAGACACAGAGGTGAAATGACTTGCCCACAGTCACCGAGTAGGCCAGTGACAAAGCTAGGACTAGTCCCAGTCAATATTTTCACTAGGCCAAATGGTTATGATGTGATTTCCTCAGTGTTCCTCCCCGCTCCAGGATATTTTGTGGGGATAATAGTTGTGCATTGAAATGTTTGCAATGCGTAGTTGCGGACAGGGCTAGTGTGAGAAATCTCATCCATGGTCTATGTCCCAAAACCTTGACAGTCTTATTACTTGGTTGTTACAGTAATTTAGGGCAAATCTACAATTATAATGCTGCATCAGCATACAGTTGATGTAGCACTTTAATTAAAATGCTCCAAGTACTCGTGAGGGCATTCTGTGCTAAAAAATTAAATTCTGACACAATATTTTAAAATTCTGCAAGTTTTATTTGTCAATAAATAAATGCAGGAGCTCCAGCATGGCAGTGAGGAGCACAGGCCACTGGCTGCAGAAAGGGGGGGAGATCACCCTGCAGCCCCCACACCTCGCATCCCTAGGACACAGACTCAGTAGTGAGGCTGCACCTGACCCTGGCACAGCCCAAGGCCTGGGCCTGCCCCAGAAACACCCTGGGACCCTGTCCATCTGCGCCAGGTGCACGAGGTGTGGGGCAGGCAGGCTCGGGCAGGCAGGATTCAAGGGTGGAGGGGCTCAGTGTGGGGGGGATTCAGGTATGGGCTGAGAGGATTCTGTGTGGGACAATCTGGGTACAGGCAGCTCAGTGTGGGGCAGATCTGGATGTACAGAGGCTTGTTGGGGAGGTCCAGGTGAAGGTGGTTGGGGCTCAGCAGAGGGGTCTGGGTGTGGGGGTCTCAGCAGGGGGGTCTGGGTGCTGGGGGAGTGGGGCTTCATGGGGGAAGGTCTGGGTGCAGGTAGTTGGGGGTCAGTGGCATGGGGGTCTGGATGTGGGGGCTCAGTGGTGCGGGGGGGCATCAAGATGGGGGTTTGAATGCGGGGAGCTCAGTGGGGGGGGTGGCCTCTGGGTGCAGGGGTGGGAGTCAAGAAGCAGGGGTTGATGTTCAGTGGGGTGGGGTTCTGGATGTACCGGGTGAGGCTTGGCAGGGGTCTCTGGGTATAGGAGGTATGGATACACAGGTGTTGGGTGGCTGGGGGAGCAGCTCCCCTTACAGTGACCCCTCCCACTACAGCTGAGGACTGATGGGGCTAGGAAGATGGGGAGGATACTGAGCTTCCTGCAGCTGTGGGAGGTCTGACATAGCCCCAGCCACTCCTTGGAGGGGAAGGGTATGTCCTGTCCTCTCCGGCCTCCAGCCCTGATGGGACTCTCAGCTAATCCCAGCTCAGGGTTGGAGCCACTGGCTAGGGTGTCCCCAGCTCCACCATGATTTACCTCTCTGTCGGCTGCTTCAGGTGCCTGAAACAATGTACAGGCGCTGCTAGGGAGTGGTGCGTGACTTCTTTTGCAGCTTCCCTTTGCTTCTCTGTCATTTTTCTGCAGGGAAGCAGTCTGCAGGGGCCATGAATTCTGTGCACGTGCAGTGACATAGAATTCCCCCAGGAGTATAAGCTGATGACAGAGAGAGAGAGAGAGAGAGCGCATGTGCTCTATGTAGTTAGCTACCACCTCTCGGAGGTGGATTATGTCAGTGGGAGCTCCCGATAACAGTGCTGTCTATGCAGTGGCTTTCGATGGTATAACTATGTTGCTATAGGGTATGAATTAGTGTAGACCAGACCTCAAAGCGTTGAAAAGATTGGTGTGTCTGTATTCTTCTCTACACCCTCCTTGTTTCCAGCTCCCCCTCTCCTTCCCATCCCATTATGCTATTAGCTGGCACTGTAGAAGCCATTAACTTGTAAGAAGTTACTCCTTGCTGTCTCCAGACCTATGCCACTGCGTATACATCACGGCAAAAGCTTACTGGAGGGCCATATGCTGCTGTGGTTATTAGGTAGCCTGAGCGGCATACTGAACTTGGCCCCTCACTCCCACTACCCACCTCCTTTGGCACTCCTCTCCCTGCTTCTGTCAGACTTCCCCAGGCATGTCCCAGGTCTGCTCGGTCTGCCCTTCTCCCAAACACTCTGGCCAACTGTCCCCTACTCCTCCCACCTCACACAGGGCTGATACATACCTTAACTAGTTATTTTATGGATTTCAGATATTTAAATTTGCATTGCCTTCATTTCCCCCTCTTCTCTTCTCTTTGCCCCCCCACCAAATCCCATCTCACAAGGAAGGGCAGGGAGAGGGGCTCAGACACTGCAAGAGGAGCAGGATCTCCCATATCCTAGAATACATAGTGGGCAGAGGATCTCGGGTCCTTGCAGAGATGTTAAGGCTTCCTAGATCCCAGCATGCACACACAAGGGAGAGTTCAGTGCTGACAGGCCCCCCCAACTCTGAACCCCCAACTCTCTTTGCTACCCTTCATATTCTCCAGCCTCCTATCTTCCATTCCTACTTAGCCCCTTCCCCATAATCCCTTGCTGCAGACCCAACCCCCTGTTACCGCACTAATCACCCCATCCCTTCCAATGATCATTTACTTGTCTAATTTATCTCATTCTCAAAAATAGTTTTAGTACCTTCTGAATATTCTGCTGTACTCAGATTGCATTTCTCCACAATAAATTTTAAAAAGGGGGGGGGGGGAGGGCAAATCCTCTCCTCCTTCTTCCTTCCTTTTTTTCCCCTCTCCCCCTCCAAAATGTTTACAGTTAAATCTTACACTTCTGCCCTGGGTGGATCTCAGACTTCAAAGTTACAGGCTCCGCGACATGTGAAGTGATTCATCGCAATGAGATGTTCTCAGATGAAAGAATACCCAGTGGAGAGGAGTACAGATTGAAACAATAACTCTGAGGCTTTGTCTACACTAGTGTTTTTGTTGGCAAAACTTGTTGATCGGGGTGTGAGAAAACACACCCCTGACCAACATAAAGTTCACTGACAAAAGTGCCAGTGTGGACAGTGCTATGTCGGGGGCAGAGCGTCTTCTGCCAACATAGCTACTGCTGATCGTTGGGTATGGTTTAATTATGCTGGTGGGAAAGCTCTCTCCCACCAGCATAGAGCACCTACACAGGAGACCTTACAGCAGTGGAGCTGCAGCGGTATAGCTGTGCTGCTGTGAGACATAGTGTAGACATAGCCTGAGCCACTGCTCCAGTCATGTCATTAGGTGTTCCCTTCCTCCACTCTCCCCGGTGCAGGAGAGTTTCTGATGTGTGTCAAACAGACCAGTTCTCAGCTCTTCACTCCAGTCTCAGCAGTATGTTCTTTGCATGCTCCGAGCATGCCTGTTCTAAGCTCTTCACCCAGAGGAGCAGGGTTTTTCCAGATTCTTGCTCACAGGGGTGTAACGGAGAAGGGTTCAGACTTCCCCATAAAGGGCAAGCCCTGAAACCTGGTTTACATGGGAGGCAAGAGGGAAGACCCCTACAGATACTGGTCCTCACAGGAGTAGAGGAAGGGGTTTGGACCACCCTCCCAGAAACTGG